TGCTATTCACTACCGGAGTGAAACAGTAATACGAGTATATTATAAATATTCATGGAACAAAGTACCCGCCACTAGGTGACATTCTAATTGAGCTTAATCACATAAGAATAATAGATCAAATGTCTAACTTTAGAAATAACAGTGTCAATACACATGGCTATTCTGCGAGAAGTTAATGCTGTGTTTTAATTTCTCCTATTTGGCAAATAAGTAGTTTTGCTAAGTCTTCTGAATTAACATGGCAGTTACTTGTCAAATTTTTCTGATACTTCTTCTTCTTGTAGTGCTTCTCTGCCTAGTGAAGATTGACTGTAAAGGAAACTCCTCACAATCTTTGGCAAGATGCAAAAACTGGACGTTACTAATTATCCCGTTACGACGCCATGATTTCTCCACAAGTGTTTTCTTCGTAACTTTTCCCATCATTATAAGCCGTAGCAGTTAGTATATCTCACGTCTCATTACATGTCCCAAATAGGCAACTATTATTTGTTTGACCGTTTACAAAAGTTATACCCTCTGAAGAACTTCAACATTCGTGACGTTTTGAGTCCAACTGATCCACATCTGATTATATGCCCACGCATGCCAATATTGTTTAATATTTCACTCAATAGAAATCATTTCTAATGAAAACAATGATAACAATAAATAATCCTAATTTAAATAGAGTTTTTTTTTATGGGATAGGTGGCAGATGAGCAGCCGGATCACCTGATGGTAAGTGATTACCGTCGCTCATGGACTCTTGCAACACCAGAGGGGCTACAAGCGCGCTGCCGGCCTTTGAGGGACGAATATGATCATAGGGAGGGAAGGGAATAGGGAGGGGTTGGGCCTCCGGTACCCTCACTCACACGACGAAACACAACGCAAGCGTTGCTTCACGTCGGTTTTCTGTGAGGCCGTGGTACTCCGGTCGAACCGGTCCATTCATGCCGAATTTCTAATTTGTTTAATAACACTATTGAACAGGTCTAGTTCGTTTATATTTGATTTATGACGTTTCAGACCCTTAGCAGATTCCGTTTAGGTGGCAAAATAGTTTTATTTACAGAAAATATAAAAAATCAGTATTCTATTTTGCGGAAACACATTCCGCATTACTACATAAGTATTCTTTCGTATTACTGAAAAGGTTCCATGAAATTGTTTTAAACAAAGATATGTCGTAGTTAATTTTTCTGAGAATAAACTTTTGTATTTATTTTTATTTTTATGCTTAAACATTTTGTTAAATGTTGTGTGCGTTTTGATTAATGTTTAATTAACACGCACACACGTAGCAGTGAAAATAGTTCCAAAATCTAGCGACAAAAGAATCTAATTACTACTACAATAGAGTTTTATATTATTTTTATATTTAATATTAATATAAAATAGTAAACTTTGATTTTTAATTTGTTTGTGACAACTTAATTCAAAACTACTATACTTAAAGTTCTTGAGACGGCTTATATAGAGAAAATATGTGGTTTTTTGTCTGCTTTGAATAGTCTCCATGACTACTGAGCTTATATTAAAAATTATTTTACCTATGGGAAGCTCCATCATATGCAAGTGACTTAAGCTATAATCTACGCGGGCGAATTCGCAGAAAACAGCTGCTTAATAAAGCGGAGCGGCTTGTCGCTTAGCAATATTGTAGGTATATTGTATCATAAATATAGACACCAAATACTGTATTTTCATAAAAATACGTACGTAACTGCTGGACTAATCAGAGGTGTAGGAACGCAATACACAAAAATGCAGAACGTTCTGGATTCCTGGACAAATATCTCTCAAATTCAATAGTTACCATAATAGCAAAGTCAGAAAATATATTCAAATCAAATACACTAGATATCTAAAGAAAATTCTATTCATTTTTTCATTCAATACGAGTTACACTGGTCCTAGGTAGGTTATGAGTCTAATAAACCATCCTAAGAACTTTAGGATACTTGGTTACCCTCACAAACGACTGTCGAGCTATTTCACTATAGTTTAAGTGGAGTTCGCAAATTCGCCCCGTCATCATTCGTCTTGATCTATGGCACTATCTCCGGTCAATCTCTCGTTGCTTTAAGTTTTAATAGGTCTAGACCAGAGGTGCCTAAAATGTTTTACATCAGAGAAGACTTTAGGCCCCCTTAGTTATTTTGTATATTTATAAACTTCAGACGTTTTCTGAAATGCCATTCTGTTATAAATACACCGTCACCGCCAAACACATTAACACGCGCTCTAGCATTAGAGGTACAAATTAGGGTTCCGTAACTCACGCATTCTTATTGAGGATGAGTGAAGACCTCTTTCTACCACATGAGGTACTCGCGAGGTCCCCTCATTTGAGGTGAGGTAAACAGAATGAAATAAATACAAAGATTGTGTATGTAGCAAGTCGTAAGGCAAATGAGAGAGGAAGTCGGTCACTTTGCGCGCGCCATTACTCGCCAGCCGAGCCTAGAGTTATAATATGTTGAAAGGTTATGAGGCGTGTTATCTATATTTGCGCCTAGCGCACGGGGCCTCAAAAAGTGAGGTGGTTCAAAGTTGAAAACAAGTACTCTCTCATTTTGTCGAAACGAGGACCTCAAATAAGGTACCTCACGAGTGAGAGACTAATCACTAGTTCAAATAAATAAAACTTTCCTTGAATTGTAATAAAGGTTTTATTTCATTGAACTTAAGGCATAGAGAAAAATAAAAATCCACATTAAGTGCATATACTAATTCGTTATTAATTTTGAATGCCGGTTTAACCCATAAGCAAAATTAGCAATTGATTAGGGCATCGAGTTCTGGTGGTCACCAAAAAAATTCTAGCACTAAGCAGTAAAGCTGTTTGAAGATCCACGAGTTTCTTATCTATCTAATTGTATTAAATACATTCTTTATAATAAACATTAGTAATGTTTAAACATAGACAGTACTTTACTAATGGAAAAAGGGGGGAGAAAGGATGGCTTAGGTCATGAAGAAGTTTTAATCCAAACAAAAGTACTGACAAAAGAATAACCAAGTATTGACGACATTAATACCATGTACCCCGTTCTTAATGAGTCTATTTCGGTAATGTTATAAGCTTCATGATTATGGAGTAGCCCGTAAATTTGAATTACTCATATATTAATAACCATCTAACTTTTAAACGATATATACTACTTACAAAACGTTCTAGCTCTATTTCTCAATATAGGTATTATAACAAAATTTCATTAATGTAGATTAATCGGCTTAAACAAGGTCCAGTATCGTAGATGCCAGAGAATATATCTACGATCCCATTCTTCTTAGTCATTTCGCTAATATTCTTCTTTTAAGTTGCAGTCGACCCCTGGGGATCGATGTGAATTACTTTGAGTATAAATGGTCTAGATTGTAGATGAGCAACGTTCGAATTTATTAGGGTTGCCTCTGGACAATAACGTCTATCAACCTTAGTAACAAGACCAGTAAAGGAATAAAGAGTTAAATTTTTTAGTAATTATTAAAAATAATTATGATTAAAAATGTTACATTGAAAATTAAAGTGGTAAATTCTGTGTCTATCGATTTATTTGAGTGTTAAATTAATTTGGCCGGATAGTAATTTCAAACTGGTACGATACTAAAGTAAGTCCTCATTTTATAGGAAAGCGGAAAAGGTTACCAACCCCTGTTATAGGAGAAACAAATATTATATTAAAGCTTTTAATGCGGAACATCGTTGCAATATATCTAGGAAGCAAAATAATTTCCAACTCCTCTATGGTACGTAAAACATATTGAGCCGTTAGCCACGGCCGGTGCAGATATAACTATCTTTAGTATCAGGCAGCCCGTACAACGGAATAGAGATTATAAATCAAAATATAGATTAGCTAGGATAAAAGAAGGCTAAAGTTATTTGAGCACGCTATGTCTGTATTTGGTTAGAAACTAGTCAAATTATAGTACTGTTTGGAGAACGTTTAAGCCCTAGATATCACAGAATTTCAAATTGGCTTTGAACAAAGAAATGAAATTCAAATCAGGTGACATTAAAATGAGATAGCTACATCATGCTTCTAAGAGATTGATTGATGTAAATATGGATAATGTAAAGTAGTAACATTATCGGGATAAAAAGAAATTAAAGATGCCCAAATACTATCTACTGGTTATTCTACTTAAAGCTAATTACACAAGAAAATGATGTCTGTTTTTTTTATGGGATAGAGGGCAGACGAGCAGACGGATTACCTGATGGTCAGTGATTACCGTCGCCCATGGACACCTGCAACACCAGAGGGGCTACAAGTGCGCTGCCGGCCTTGAAGGGAAGGGTTGAGGGGTAGAGGGAAGGAAATAGGGAGGGGTTGGGCCTCCGGTACCCTCACTCACACGTCGAAACACAACGCAAGGTTGCTTCACGTCGGTTTTCTGTGAGGCCGTGGTATCACTCCGATCGAGCCGGCCCATTCATGCCGAAGCGTGGCTCTCCCATGAAGAAACCTTTGATTATATCGCTCAGATCTCATATTTAGGAACTGAGAGTTGTAGGTACCTTTTGATTCTTTAATGTAAAATGACATTATTTTAAAATATTCATTTATATAAATCTGTAGATCGACTTCGGCAAAAGATCGATCTGTATGTTAAAGCTCAGAACAGACTATTATACTATCTTAAGAAATATTAAATAACATATTTTAACATCTTCACCGTTAAGATACGATAATATAAATTTTATAATATATATTTTGTATCTTAGGATAACCTACAAAATATATTTTTTCGTATCGATTGTCATTTTAAGATAATTAATATGAAAATATGATAGTATCTTAGCCGTGTATGTTGATCCATTGGAATGTATGTCGAGCGATATTTAGATAGTGATCTTAAGATATCATATTAAAGCATCTTAACTGCCTGTCACGACCTTAAGTATTAAGTTATAAATGTAATTTAACTGATTCGAATTAAAATTAGTATTTTATACTTATTTATTTATATGGACAACCAATAACAACATTCACCTTACATGCTTAAGTTTACTAAATTGTAGTGTACATAAGGTGGGCCGAAAAAACGTTTTTTTTTTAATTTGATTTGTAATAGTGAAAATTAGTTGAAAATTAGTTTAGCAACCTATGTGACCAAAGTATATGCTCCGTGGTTTGACATTAAAAGGCACCCAAGTTGAAAAGATGGAGGAAGGCACTTATGGGCGTTTATATCAAGGTCTCGTTACTTATCTAAGACTATTTCAGGTTCCTGCAATAAAAATAATTGCAACATTTTATTACAACCTTATTAACTGGCAAAACAAAGTTACAGAACCACCTCTCCTGATGCAAATCTCGATCGAAAAACTACAAGCTTTTATTGCTCGAGTAGATGACAATAAAAAGATATTTTTCGTTCTCTTCTCTCTTCTCTTCTCTTCAGGAACTCTGTACTCAAAAACAGCTCGGGAGGGTTTCATCAAACTAAGATTGAGTCTCGTAAACTTATGCCAAGGATTTTTGTGTAAAGTAAGAGATATTTGTTATATAAAAAATAAAAAAATTATGCTTATTTCTTAATAAATAATTAATACATAGCTTGAATATAAATTTTTGTTATTTATATTTATCTTCCAATAAAACAGTGAAATTTGAAAAAGTTTTAAGGATACATGAAAATTATATTTTTCAAAATTTCAAGGTCAATCCGGAGGCAGACGATGATATCCAATAGTTTTTAAGATAAAACACATTTTTATTGCTATTACTTTCCAAAAGAAAAACTTTTTTTTTCTTCATACATGAGTGACCCACCCTAAGTACAATCAATTTTTGTCGTTTTATTCATAGACTATTTCGAAAAGTGTAAATTATAAATTGGGACCAAAAGCTTTTTTAATCAAGATGTTTCATAAAACTTAATATCTAACAGCCATTTTAAAGTTCGTGTAACTTTACTTAGTCGCACGAGGTTCACAAGGTCGCATGCCGGCGACTTCCTTCCTTCTGCAGATATTTCGATATTCAAAGGAGCTTCAAATTCCAGTCTTCTGGCGTAGCACCAAAATTGAATTAGGATCTCGGTTACAAAGCACTTAAGCCCACATCCTGTGTTCGATAAATAAGGTATTTCGATATCACGTGTGTCTTGAGCTAGATACTCAAGATGCAAGATACTAATATGTATATATTTTTTTTTTTTTTTTTTATTGTAATCACTAAATTTTAGATTAAGTGTATTAATGTTCCTTATTTCTAATGGGGCACAGGCCTTCCCTATTAAGGAACTCGAATCAAATCAAATACCCACCCTATTTAGTTAACGTGACAGTACGTCCCGCCCTAAACGGGATCGTCCCATTTTTCGGTTGTCTGTCCCGGTGTTCCTGAAGAAAAACTCCGGGATGCAAATTTCCCGTTTTCCGAAAAAACGCGAAACTTTTCGTCGGCCGCACACTTTTGGTAGCGAGGAAGAGAGTAGGCGACAAAATATTAATAAATTATGTCACAACAATTCCACCATTTTTATATACATCCATAAGCGTGAAAAAAAAAGTCCCATTATGAGTCACAGAAACAATGGTCCCGTTAGTCATGGGTCCACGCGAGCCCAATACGGATTGGCGATTAGATTGTATAATTGAAACAATATAGCGACCTGGATAATAATATTGTACACAATTAAGGGCTGTTGGCATATCTATCTGTCTCAAATTCTATTTCAGACCAGCTTGTACACTCACATCGATTTCGTTGACATCGAATTCGGGAACTAAAATAACCATTATGTAGGAGCTCGATGGCGCAATAGTTAGTGCGATTGGTTTGCGATATGAAGATTAAGCAACTTTCGTAAGGGGTCCTCCGTGCTTCGTTAAACCATTGGTCCAAGTTGCATCTGCGTCGTTACAACTCAACAAACTTCAGTGGGCCCGCTTGGTGGGTTATGACCTTTTCTTCGTTTTCGATTCCAACCATAGGGAATATCTATGCCCCAGCATTGAACGTATTAATAAGTTGATGACAAATTGCTTTACACGTTGTCTTTTCCTGTATTCTGTATCCCACAGCAAAGGTACGAGGGCGGGATGATAAATAGCTAGCCTAGCATAGAAAAACTTGAATTAGCGTGTTAAAAGTATATTTATTTTTCGACATAGTCTCCTTGAAGCGCTATGCAGTTCATCCATCTATGCTCTAAAGCCTTGATGCCATCCCTAAAGTGGTTTTCTTCAAGCCCTTCAAAATAACTGTCCACGACAGATATCAACTCGCTACTATTTTCAAATCTTTGTCCACTAAAAAATTTTTGAGCTTAGGGAATAGATGAAAGTCAGATGGTGCAAGATTAGGAGAATAAGCTGGGTGTGGTAGCAAATCATAATTTAATTCTTTGAATGTCACCATCGCAGTGATGCACGTGTGAACGCGCGCATATTCCTGATGAAAGATGACCGGGTCTTTTTAATTTATCCAGTAGATCAGCATAATATTTGCCATTTATGTTTTGTCCTTTTGGAAGGTAATCAATCATCAATATACCCTTCGAATCCCAAAATACTGACACCATGACTTTCCCCGCTGATTTCACGGCTTTTGCTTTCTTTGGAGCCGGGGATCCTTTTCCCGTCCATTGTTTAGACTGAATTTTTGATTCAGATTGCGACAAACCGTCGCAGAAAATCAGTTGTATTGCTCTTAAAGCGGTCCATACATTCTTGTGTTTGCATACGAACGCGTTTTTGGTCAACTGTAAGCAAACGTGGCACCCACCTTGCGGATAAATTTTTATACATAATTCTTGAGACAAAATGTAATGCGCCCGTTCTTTAGAGATGCCTACAGTATCAGCTATCTCGGATCAATCTTTGGTCAGTTAAAACTGCATCATAAATTTTGATCACAATTTCTGGAGTAGTGGCACTTTTTGGACGTCCTGGACGATGTTCATCTTTTGTGCTGGTATGGCCACGTTGAAATTCAGCCACCCAATTTTTTATGGTCGCATATGAAGGAGCATTTTCTCCCAAAACTTCTTTCATCTCCGAAAAAATCCTTTAATCCTTTTAAATGCAAACCTTTTAATCCTTTTAAATGCAAAAACTTTATCACAGCTCGTAGCATAATTTTATCCATTATGCAGAAACAAAAGAATGCTTTTTGAAATGTCAATATTTAAAAGAAAAACTATACGATCGATTTGAAATTTGGAACACTGGCAGCTAATGAACCAACGAGTAAAATACTAAGGAGATTTTATATCGTTATTATACAAAATATAGATTGGGCTAGCTATTTATCATCCCGCCTACGTACTAATAAGTTCATGAGCCTATGATAAGATGTTAAAGCAATATTAAAATGTGATTTAATAATAACCCGACTTCATACAGTATGTATTTATGTTTGTGAGCGACTATCTCGCGTTTGGTTGAACCGATTCTGATGCGGTTTTCAACATAGTATTTGCCAGACTTAGAAGACGGTTTTAGGCATATTAACTGACCAGATATTAGAGATTCGCACTTTAACACAATTTTGACACGGTTTTCAGAAAAGTATTTATAGTGTTACCAATTATTTAAAAAAATATCAATACCATTAAAAACTTAAAAAAACAGAATCGACTACAAACTTAAAAAAGTGAAAATAATATTTATCTCATAAGCGACTTATTCAACAAAAACCCTATTGAACTCGCCTAACTTAAAACCTCCGCCCGACTTTAATAGCTTTTGGGATAAGTATTATAGGTATTTCACTTTTTTTGAGTTTTTATCTTTGAAATTGATGAGTAATTTCTTCTTAAAAAGTAGTACATAATGAACATACCCCTTCCAATTGCACCAGTCACATAATCTCAAAGTGAAATAATATTTTAGTTGAAAGTTATAACTAAATAAACTACAATTGCCGTACTTAGCATATTATTCAAATGAGATTCTTCGGAATAAAATTTCAAATTGAATTTATAAAAAGCTCTTTAGCAAAGCTGCTTTGATGAAAGGTGAATGAATTTCGGACGATTTCATCTATCTTTCCTTTAAATATTTTACTCGAATGGATTTCTAAGAGTTCGGGAACTAAATCGGAAATACTCAATTTGTATCCTAAAAATCTTTCATTCATTATTACGTCTGATTATTAAACGTCTATCAAAATTAAAAATTACAAATTGTTCTACAATCGAGAATCTTAAGTTTAAGGTGAACATCGAATTTCTCAAAATTTTCTATTTATTTATTGAAGTTTATTGACCTTATGAGCATAGTACAGAATGCAGACTTTATGTTAATAACATTCTCTCGCAGTCAACCTTTGGGGAAAACGATGATTGTGTTTAATCAAATACCTAAAAAGCATTGAAACTTCTAACACCAACTTTTTAATTAAACGGAAAAATGTCTTTAACATAGTAGATCCCTTTCTCTTTAATTTAACAAACAAAAATTACTATAACCATTTTTTTTTCATTAAGAACAACAAACAATGGCCTTTCTGTTTACGCTCTGACTTTTGTAAAGTATTTTAATTGCGTGGTTTCACAGGTAGATAATAGAGACAAGGGTAAACCCTAATCGTATTCCCATAACCGAAAAAGGTCAAGGTATCTAGAAAATAACGTAACATGCGACCGCGACTAATTTTTTATTCACCCTGACAGTTAACAGTAAAACCGGATTTACAAAACGAAAGTAGTTGAAATGGAAATACTTTCAGTGCGTTAATTTAACGTCCACTTTCCCAATGAATGCATCTCGACTTACGTGGCGAAACTAGTGTGACATCATCTGCACATTATAAAGATTCGACGACCGTTGACGAACTAAATCTCTCATATATACTGGGTTATTGTCGATCCTCCGATCGGTACTCCAATTGGTAGGAGCAGCGTTAACTCTTTTTCCCAATGCTTCGATTAATGCGTTTGGTAGGAGGAGGGGGAATACTTTTTACTGATTGCACGCCGTTACGAAAATACTTTCACATGTGCCAAAATGAATTTCGTGAAACTCGTCTTCACTTTCATGCAACTATTTTTGTAATATAAATTCGTCTTAAAGCTTCTAGACGTTATACGAACAAAAAAATACACTTCAAAGCGACCGACTTTTTTTTTCGGCGAATAAAATATGTCGCCGATAATTTAAAAAAAAATAGGTCTACTGAGATGGCAATTAGAAAGGTCATTTATTTTGTTCTAGACTCTTTGGACGAGTCACAGAAATGCGCGAGTATTTTTTGTGACTTATCCAAAGCGTTTGATTGTCTTCGCCATAATAACCTTATTTGTAAACTTACATATTATGGTTTCCAGGATGTAGAATTAAATATGATGAAATCTTATTTATCAAAAAGAAAGCAAGTTGTTGTAGTAAATGGTGTATCTTCAGATTTAAAAGACATTGATATAGGGGTGCCACAAGGCTCGATTTTAGGGCCAGTGCTATTTTTAATATATATAAATGACTTAGTAAACTCGGTCCCTGAGTGGACATTCACCAGCTTATTTGCTGATGATACTCATCTCGGAATAAAGGACAAGTCGCAAAATAAACTCGAGCAAAAAATTGAGATAGCTGTGGATATTTTGAAGGAATGGTTTGAGGCTAATGGCATATTACTGAATGCAAATAAAAGTACAATAATGCATTATCAGGTTAGAAAACGGCTATCTGAGAACGTACTTGTTACAAATAATACTTTTCTAGGTTATACCTTAGACCATACTATGAGCCACTCTTATCATATAAACAAGCTATGCAAAAAACTAGCCAGTGCAAACTACGCACTACAAAAACTGAAGCCCGTAACCAATAAAAAAACATTAATGACAGTGTATTATGCTTATGTGCACTCCCTATTAAGTTATGCGGTGACAGTCTGGGGAAATGCTTCTGATATAAATCGTGTACTAAAATGCCAAAAAGGTCATTAAGAATTATAAATGGTTTGC